CAGCCCGATTCATAACCACTACGCTACCAGAGCCCTTTATGATAAAGTAGAGGGTTGGTGAAAAAGAGGCAGACCTCCAATGAGTTAGATTGGCACAGTGGCGGTAGTCATAGGTTTAAATGTAGCAAAAATTGTGAGAATGGTGAAGGGCAGGGCAGTGTTACTTTGATACATAATTCTATATCAATTGATCTTATATTATACTACTAATAAACACTAAAGTTTGGGAGCACTTAACACCAATCAGCTGATGTAATACATAACATAATGTTTCAATATCTAATTACTAAATATTGTTGTGATTTTTTTGTTTCAAAATTAAAAAGTATAATTATTTTGTCCTAAAGCTCTTATGGATACTTAAAAAAAAAAAAAATCTAGTCAACTACCTTTGAAGTTAAAATTGTAAATCAAACAGATTACCCAATTTAATCTATAAATAAATCTGTGTCTGTCTAAGCTTCTTTATCAAATGCATTTAAAATAAATTGCATGTACCGGGTATTTGCCCTTATTATCATTTCATCTCTTTACTGTGTGTACAGATGCCATATTCATTAGTCCACATTGATATGACCTTAGGGCCCTTATGAATTATTAAATAATTGAAAATGACCTAATTCAGGGAGAGTGTCTCATATGCTTGTTCATTTGAAAACTCGCTTCCAGGGAGTCCATTCTGACTCAGAGAGATCCTGCAAAGGGTTTCCCGTGACTCTAAACCTTTGCAGGGGCAGAAAGCCTCAATTTTTCCTGAATAGCACCTGGTGGGTTTGAACTGCCAGCCTTGTGGTTAGCAGCCCATTGCTTATCCTGCAGCTTCTCCTGGATCTTGATCATTATTGCTATTAAGTGCTGTCAAGTCGGTTCAGACTCATAGCTACCCTGTATAGGGTTTCCAAGGTGCAACTGGTGGGTTTGAACGGCTGATCTTTCAGTTCACACTCCAGTGCTTTTCCTACAGTGCTACATCCTTTACATAAGAATGTATTCAAGAATATGTAGTCTCCATGAATAGTTACCACATTGTGAGCTCTGCTTCAATTTTTAAGTAGTGAGGTGCTTAAAGCTCTTAGCTGCCAACCAAAAGGTCGACTGTTCAAACCCACCAATCACTCTGTGGGAGAAAGATGTGGCAGTCTGCTTCAGTAACAATTTACCAATCCCACTGGACAGTTCTGTAGAGTCCTTATGAGTCAGAATCAACTGGACCGCCATGGGTTTCATCTTTACTGTGGAAGCAGACTGTCACATACTGTATCCATGTGGTTGTTGTTAACTGCCCTTGAGTCAGTTTTGATTCATAGCAACCCTGGATAGGGTTTCCAAGGAGGTGCTCGTGGATATTAACCATGGATCTTGCAATTAGCAGTCCAGTGCTTAACCCACAGGACCACACCAGGACTTTCTTCCACCTTGTTGTTGTTGTTAAGTGTCGTCAAGTTGATTCTGATTCATGGTAACTCTGTATAGGGTTTCAGAGGAGCGGCTGGTGTGCTTGGAACCACCAACCTTGATTGTTTAGCAGTCCCGTGCTTATCCTACAGTGCCACATACTGACTGGTAAACTGCTGACCAATTGGTTGGCCACAATAAGCTCTTAACCCCTATATCATCAAGTTTCATTCATGATAAGGGTAGTTGACATGCATCAGATCTGTGGGTTTGGGGATTTGTGGGGGCAGTGGGTGGTTTGGTACAATTTTTATTGCATAATTTAGGAAATATAGATAAACATTTAATTAGAAAAGTAACATGCATAACCGGTACATATTTTTTTCCTTTTTCATTTGTAAGGCAGATGGACAGCGCAGAACTACAGCCAATTCTGGGGAATGACTTTAGAAGAAGGGTTCAAATTTCGCCTTGGCACCTTGCCACCTAGCTCCATGCTTCTGAGCATGAATGAAATGACAGTAGGTGTTTGTTCTATTTGACTCATGTATGTGGGTGTGAGTGTGTAGGTATATTTGTATGTGTGTTTACAGTAGTGTCAGATAATGAAATTCCTGAGTTTTTAATACTCACAGGTATAATTGAATTATATA